CGAGACCAGCCTGGGCTACATAGTGAGTTCCAGGTCAGTCTCAACTACATAGTGAGACCCTGTCTCAAATCCCCTACAAAAAAAGAGGCAACCTTGGTAGGGATTTTCAGCTGATGCATTGTCCCTGACTGCCCAAGGGCCTTTGCCTTGTAGAGAACTCTTCCCCCCACCGTTTTCAGCTGGAAGTCACAGCGAGGCTGCCACTCTCCTAGGGAAGGGAGGGGCAGGGCGTGGGAGGAGGTGGATGCCTGCCCTCATCTGCCTGGCCCCTCCCCACAGTCACCACCAACGCCCTTGCCCCCGCGTTATCTGCCTGCACAGATGGACCTCTGTCACATGGAGTAGTATTTCGCTGTCAAGAAACATCCCAAGCCATCTGCAGGACTCGACTTCAGGGTTCTCTCGGAATGTCGTGAAAATCGGTGTCACTGCCATGGGAACATTCAGCAGAGATGACGTCCGCGTGACTCCTGTTTCAGGCTAGCGCGTCTGGAGCGGTACCTCTGAACTAAGTGGACATTCAGCAGGCCACTGAGTGCTCTGCTCCTGCGTTTCAGGGAAGCCAGAGAAGAAGAGACACCACCTGTCTAAAAGTCCCTACCTTCGTCCCCCTCCTCCGTCTCAGGCAAACGCAGCCAGAGCCCTGGGTATCCCTGCTTCTGTGGGGCAACCATCACCCACTTTGTCACAGTCCCTAGACACCACCGGGAGCCTGTGGTCAGCCTGGTGGTTTAAAAAGTCGGTCTTTCCAAACAGGTATTTTTGTGGTCGTGGTCAAGTTTTAAAATCTTTGATACTCAACGCCTATCAGAAACAAAAGTGGAGCTGATGAATGAGCTCAGCGATGCCGCCGCCTGGCTCCCAAATGCAAGAACCCGAGTTTGATCCCCAGTATCATGCACACAAAAAAAAGCAAAGTGGATTTTGGTCTTCCTCTGTGAAATGGCAGCCCCCAGCCAGCCGCTGCCATCACAACCATCTGCTCTGTGCAGCTCAAAAATTGAAGCAGGCAGCAGCTCTAGCACCTGCATCCAACCCCATGGAGATCTCTTCTAAACAGGGCACCCCTCTTCAAGGGCACTGGAGGCAAGATGGCGTGACCTGCTCTCCCAAACGTCCCAGGTTGGCAGAAGTGGCCGCCTTGTTTGTGTGCCCTGCCTGGGTCCCCCAAGGGAGCCCCGCTGTGGGATCCGTGTGTACCTGAACTGTCCAGGGTGCAGCTGGATTGGCCTCAGCAAGGACCGCCTGTTACTCGGGGCCATCGAAGCTCCTGATCCTTCAAAGCTACCACCTACGTGCCAGAAGGACCTGACCCACTTCAGCTGCCGGACAGGAAATACCATGTTGGTTACACAGCCCATTTCCAGCTCATTTAAAGACCTTTTCTTGTGTTACTATTTATATATTTGGTTTTTGAAACAGGGTATCAATGTATAGCCCAGGCTGCCCTTGAACTCCCAGCCATCCTCCTGCCTCGGCTTCCTGAGTGCTAGGATTACAGGTGTGTGCCACCATGCAAGTCTTCCTTTTGTCACCAGGGAAGGAAACCCAGCTGACAGCTTCTCTACGGCTGCCCAATGCCCCGTCAGTACTCATCTGAGTTCGCCATGTGGAATCCCAACGCAAGGGCCATGGATGCTAAGATGGTATGTCAACCGGCATAGGGATGGCTGTCACAGATGGAGGGACGCCTCACTAAGAAGGGAAGAGGAACGGAAAGGCTGTGTTAAAGGATTCTCGGAAGTGGCCAGGTTGTCCCACTAGTCGTGCCCTCCATGGTTTCCTCGTCTAAGTTTTGGGTAAATCAGGACCAAGATTTTACTTATCTTTGCAGTACTCCCTAACTGCATCTACCAAACCTGTCACTGGAGTTCAGGGAAACTCTGCATTTGTTAGATGAAAGCCCTGAGAGCAGGAATGTGAAAGGTTTTGTAACTGTTTCATGAGATGAAGTCCGGAGTTACAGGACCAACAGGAAGTCTACAGGGAGAAGAAGTTCAGAGAGGGGCTGGGACGGGGGGAGGCCGCAGGCTGGAAACCCCGGGAGGGAAGTGACTCGGTCTGAAGGCAGCCTGCTTACGCGCTCTTTCTCGTGCAGGGAAGTTGGGCTCCGTTCCGTTCAGGCCTTCAGCTGGTGGGGTGACTATTCCCACAAAAATACCCAAAATGATGTTCGACTATCTGGGCACCGCAATCGTCTTTGTTTTGTGTTGCTAACAATACTCACGACTGGGTAATTAATTGATAAAATAAACTTACTCCTCATTGTTCTGGAGACAGGAAAGTCCAAGCGCACAGGGCCAACATCGGCTTGGCTCCGTGAGCACCTCCAGCCGCATCATAATGTGGCAGAGGGCGTCACAAGGCAGGGCAGGGCCAAAGCCAGCCTGGCCCTCTCTTCCCAGCAGGAGGCTCTGACGCTGCCCTAGGAGCCCCAACCTTCAGGACTTCGTCCATCCTCATTTCCTCCTGCAGGGCTTACGTCCAAGCACCGTGAATTTGGACGTAGGCTTTTGAGGGGACGCATTCGGCCACAGCAAAGACCCAGCCAAGTCAGCACACAAAATTAACCTCAGTCACTCCATCGCCGTTTCTCACTGGGGGCACCGATTCCCTTTGGGACAGACGGTTCTTCCCTGGGAAAGGCTGTCTGGCCCTGTCCAATAAACTGGCAGCCTCCATCCCTGCCCACGAAACACCCACTGTAGTCCTTATCACTGTGACAACAAAAACTGCGCTCCGACATCCTTTACCCCTCCCCTCCTTGGGGTGGGTTCTACCCAGCTGCAAAACCATGGGTCTGCACCGCCTGATGCTGCAGTAAGACCAGGAACTGCACTTGGCAACATGGCAGCCAATGGAGCTGCCTCTAGGTTCTGGGTGTGCGTACATCACACGGGCGTGGCCATCACCTAATGCAGGGGTTGGCAAGCTTTGTTGGTAGAGGGTCAGTGGTAAATACTTTGAGCTTGGCGTGTCTGTCAGAACTACTCAGCTCTGCATGGGTACAGTGAAAACCACCAGACAGCGCATGAATGAGTGTGGCTGTGTTCCAATAAAACTTTATTGATGGATACTGACATTTGAATTCAATACAATTTTTATGTCATGAAGTAGTCTCATTTTTAAAAACAATTTAAAACAGAAAACCATTCTCAGGTTATAAGCAATCAGAATTTAGCTCTCCAGTGCCTCATCTCTCATGAACTCACCGTGTATCCAGCTAAGAATTGAACAAATGCTTCAGTAAGTGTTTGCTGAATGGAAACAAATGGGAATTGGACAAGTATAGTGTTTTTCAAACTTATTTTATCAGCAAAAACTTTTAGGAATTCAAAAGAAACTCTAATTTCAGCAGAAACCCCAATGCTTGAAACAAATATTCAGTGTTTACCGGCCAGTTTTTATTTTATAAGTTCACATTTCTAACAGTTATATTTTGATAAATATGAAATCAAAGAGCACACCAAATAATCCCAGCAATCTAGGAATGAGGCAGGAGGATCTCAAGTTGAAATCCAGCCTGGGCAACTTAGCAATTTAGTGAGACTCTGTCTAAAAATAAAAATATAAAGTCAAGGAGGGGAAGGAGAAGACTGCTATTTTATTAGGAGCCATCTTGGGGTGAGGGGAATCCAACACTTGTAATCGTATTGGTTGGTCATGGTCTTGTCCCACCTCATGCCCACCTTGTAAATTCCCATTGGGTCTTACAGTTTTGCCCCACTCTGTACCCGCCTCACCATGTGGCTTTGCTGTATAAAACATCTTTGGAAAGCGGGGTGAGTGGGCAACCGCTTTCCGGTCCCCCTTCTGTCTCTCTTAGACAGAAGCTTCCTTTCACTCAGTAAATTTCTCCTACTCTTAGCTTCCATTGTTCATAGAATTTATTCTTTAATGTTAAGGAACACGAACTTGTGCTTTGCATATCTTGTAGGTTTGGGGTTACATCTCTTCCTCCTATATCATTTCGGAGGTCTTCCACCGAGATCACTGCTTAGAGGAACTGAACAGCTGTGGTTCCAATCTCTTGGTGGTATTTGCTCTCTCCCACTGCCATGAACGGTTGTCCCTCTCCCACCCTGTCTGGGAGCCACCTGATTATGGACTGAAACTTCTACGAACGGCACTCTTCTGTCCGTTCTCCACTGCCCTGCCCCTGAGAAGTATTACAGTTCACAGCGGTGTTTGATTCAAGGCACTTTCCTCTTCTAGGGCTGCTGGATTTCAAAACAAGGCTTTCAGAATGAGGCTGCCAAACTCCAAACAGTCATACAAAAAGAACTAATGACAAGTGTGCTGGACTTCTTTTACTGGGATCCACAAGATCCGACCTTGTAAACAGTTTATAACTGCTCAACTATAGGGTACGACTTCTATGTTGGATTCTGAAGTCCCCTGGACCAAAATTCCCCTCATCCTCTTTGTGGGAGGCTACTACTAGTTCCTCCCAGTGGAAGCCCTTGTGGTCTATATTCATAGCAATCCTGTTGACCTTATTATTTGGCCCATACATTCTTAACTGTTTCTTTGACTTTGTCTCCTTTGACTCAAAGCTATGCAGCTACCAAGATGACAATGCCAGGCACCTACCGGAGGCCTTTCGATGGACCCTTTCTAGAGTAACTCTGACTGCTGATCACAACTACAAACCTCTTCAGCCGGAAGTAGCCAGAATGTTCTTTTTCCTTTGCCCCCTCACAGCAGTTAGGGGTACTTCTTCAGAGGGGAGAATATTGCAGACAGGTAAATTAATTAGATAGCATGCAGGCAGCCAGACAGGGCCAGCCCAGGAGGAGCCAACACGGAGGACAGTGAAGACACAGTCACTGAAGGCCAGCATTGTAAAAGGAGAGAAACTACCATCCCACATAGAATGAATAGCAGTGATTGATATCCTAAATAGATATCAATCACCTGGGTGATAGGCCAAGGTCTTAATCAAGCCTTTCCAGGAAATATCCCTGACACACCCTACTTGTACAGTTGCAACTTGTTCTCCCATTTGATCCCCATTTAATTAATGCTACCTGGGTGACTGTACGTGTAACCTTATTGGTTGGACATGCATTTGTCCCACCTCATGCCCACCTTGTAAATTTCCATTGGGTCTCATAGTTTTGCCTCACTTTGTATCCACCTCACCACATGGCTTTGCTATATAAAATATGTTTGAAAAGTGGGGTGGTGGGCAACCCACTTTCCGGTCCTCCTGTCTCAGACAGAAGCTTTCTTTCCTACTCTTAACAGCAAAATAAATAAATAAAAATAAAGTCAAGGAGAAGTTCCGGATGACATCAAGGTGATCTTTGATGAAGCTGATTTAGATGCTTAAAAAAGGAAAGAGGGCTGGGGATTTAGCTCAGTGCAAGGACCCGAGTTCGATCCCGGTACCAAAAAAAAAAAAAAAAAAAACGAAAGAGAAAAAAGTTTCTGTTCTGAAGCAGAAATATTATCAGTAGCTAACTGTAGTTTATATTCTACTCATAAAAGTCAGTCAAGAAACATCACAAACTTACAGTGAGTGACAAATACAAAATTGTGCTTTTTCACACAGCTGGCTCCAGGCAGGTCGAAGCTATGCCTGAGTGGATAAAAACAGGTCTGACTTTTTAAAAGATCAAAGCAGGAGAGACAAACTTCCTAACCACTGGCGATATTGGCAATAAGGCAACTTCTTGGCACATGTGCTGGAAAAACTCGAGTCCAGGGGGCATGAATAGGAAGTTAAACAGAAGCCACAGTTTCTCTGACGTAATAATAATTCATGTACATTCTTTTTAGTATTTCAGCATTTGTGCCTTTCTCTTCCATTTTTTTTTTTTTTTTTTTTTTTTTGAGACAGGGTCTCATTATGTAGTTGACACTGACCTGGAACTCACTATGTAGCCCAGGCTGGTCCTGAACTCACAGCGATCCTCCTTCCTCAGCCCCCTGAGTGCTGGGTTACAGGCGTGCTCTACCACACCTGGCTTGTGCCTTTCTTACTAATTATTTTTTTAATTAGGTTTTGAAGTTATGGTAAATATATGTAAATGAAGCTTACCACTGTGACCACTGTAAGTGTATAATTGGGTGGGATTAAGCACACTCACAATGTTGTACAAACTGTCCTGCTGTCTGTCTCCAGGACTTCCTCATCATGCCAGACAGAGCCTCTGAACCCATTCAGCACCAAGTTCCCACCCACTACCTCATATGCCTGACAATCACCGTGCAACCTTGTCTCTCCAAATTTGCCTGTTCTAGCTGCCGCACATAAGCAGCCTGTGTCAGGGTTTCTCCACACAGTTTTGTGTGACAGAACTTCATGGCGTTCAAAGGCTGGGTGAGTCCACCACTCTGTGTTTACCCATCGAGGGACACCCGGTTGTACCTAGCTTTTGGCTGGTGTGGCTAGGGCTGCTATGAACGTTGATGTACAAATACATTTGAGTCTTTGCTTTGTGAGGAACTGTTGGATCACAGTCATTTCATGTGTAAATTTTCTGAGAAATCTCCATCCTGTTTTCCACAGTGCCGCTACCATTTTACCTCTAATCAATAGTGACAAAGGACTCCAGTTTCTCCACATCCCCACCAATACATACTGTTTTCTGGAAAATGTGTTTGGATTTTTTTAATATATATAATAGCCATCTGAAGGGGCATGAAGTAGAAATTGTTTTTTCGAGACTGAAGTTGAGCGTTTACAGTCCCTGAAGCATTTGTACATCACTCTAATTCACTTCAGGATTCTGAAGATCCACAGTCTGAAAGCCAGAACTGGGGGTCGATCCTCTCTCAGGGTTCTTGTTGTGGGATCAAGCCTTCCTTGACTTCCTTCCAAGAAATGAGTGAGGTGACTGGTTGCAAGCTAGAGGCAAGTCCAGTGAAGGAAGTAAATACCTCAGAGAAAGGTCAGAAGTGAGGCCCTGGTGGACAGCAGCCATCCTCTCCTGAGAACCAAGTCAAAGGAAGAGTCATCCCTCTCCCTTTCTCCTCTTCCTCCTCCTTTCCTGAAGTGTATATGTGTATGGGTGTATTTCTCTCTCTACACAAACATACACACACACTATTAAGTCCTTCTCCACATTACTGGGACTAAATACCCAACATTCACAACTTAAAGGAGGAGAGGTTCATCTTGGCTCAAAGAGTTTAGGGTTTCAGCCTGTGGCCAGCTGCCTCCAAGGCGAGTCATCAAGGCAGAGGCCTGGCAGAGGAGAGCTGCTCAAGGCATGGCAGACAGGAAGCAGACAGGGTAAGCAGGATCGAGGAAGGGAGATGAATCCTTCAGGCCATGTCTCCAAGTGACACACCTCTTCCAACCAGGTCTCACCTCCTAA